CTACTCAGCTATTAAAAAAGATTAACTCGAGGCTTTTGTAGGTAAATGGATGCAACTAGAGACCATACTCATAAGTGAAATAAATCGGAACCACATGTGTAAACATCATATTGTCTCCCTGGTGTAGGAACCGGAAAGAATAGGTAAAACTCAAAACATACAATAGATGATAGGGAGGGGAAAGAAATTGCTCAAAGGAAGGAATGACTGGGATGAGGGAAAGAAAAAAGAAAGAAGGCAGGCAATACATATATGGATAGTTGGGATAACTGTACTGATGTCTGATGGTGCACTGAAAGGAATAGTTAATGCTTAAAATTTTTTATGTTCTGACCAATTTTGCATGCTTATATCTGGTAATCCGAGCAACTGATTTGAAGACAATAATATGCAATGGAACTACCATGGTGAATTCCTACCATCTTGTCCAGTGAAACTCTGTCTGAAATTTTCATTATCTCTAATGTTTTAGGTAAAAATTATTATTTTATTCTCTATAATGGTTTGAACAATCTTCCATTCTTACATCTGGTAATCTGAGCAACGTAGTTAAAGATAACAATATGTAATACAACAACCACTGTTAATTCATGTCATTCTGTCTTGCAATCCTATTATCACTTTTAATGTTCTTGCTTTGTTTTATGTTTATGATGTTGGTATGCTGCTATTTTTTTTTTCTTTTACTATCTTTAAAATAAAAAAATTAAAATAATGTCCACAGTCCTATATCAAAGAATTTCAAATAATATCTGTAAGATTAACTACAGTTTGAACCAGATTATAAAAGGATATTAATTTGACATGTCATCTCTTACCAAAGCCTAAGATAGGGCACTGAAATTAGTAAAGAAGTTCTAAAAAGGGCTCCACCAGTGGCAGGCCACCAGAAAAACTTCTATTCCCTTACCTGGAATGACCAGGTGGTGGTTGTTAAAAAGACATATTTTAGATGAGTCAGGAGACACAGGCTATAATTCCAGCACTCTGGGAGGCTGAAGCAGAAGGATCACAAAGCCTGGGTGACTTAGGTGCCCTATTACTCATAAAACTTCAGGTCAGTAGTTTTAGCATCATTGATTTCTGCCTGAATCATCTGTTACTATGATAACTGCAAAGCAATTTTCAAAACTCTGGTTTCATTCTTGCAAATTTACTATTTGACACTCTACAGTAAGCATAATTTCTCCCTACACCCCATGTATATACTTACTAATACAGATTGCTAATTCTATAGATTTACAACTCACTTTATTTTGTTACTCTAACTGTCCCATGTATGGTAAATGGGTGCTCCTTCAAGCTGACTTCTAAGTTCCTCTAACAGGTCTGGATCAACCATCTGAATACTCCCTCACTTTCTGGCAGATGTTCCATTTTGTGCTCTCCTTGTGCCAACCCTAGAGTCAGCCATTTCTCTAAAGTGCTGAATCCTCTCAGCAAGAGATTAAAAGATTATGCGGGGGGAGAGCGGGTGCTGAAGATCAAACCCAGGTTCTCATGCTTGCTAGGCAAGGCCTCTAACCCTGAGCTATGGCAACAGGCCTTTTAAATTAAATTATATTTTATTTTGTTTATAAGACAGGGTTTTGCTATGTAGCCCAGGCTGGCATCGAACGCGAAGTGATCTTCTTGCCTCAGACTCCAGAGTGTTGGGATTACAGGTGTGTGCCACCATGCCTGGCATAAATTTTATTTTTGAGGAAGGATCTTGCTGAATTGGCCATGCTGGCCTTCAGCTTGTGATCTTCCTGGCTCAGTTTCCCAAGTAGCTAGGATTACAGGCTTGTGCCACCACATCCATCAGGAGGTAGTTTTTTAGAAATCAAAATGTGGCCTCAAGATATGCTCATTAATAACAGTGTATCACTACTTCTAAGCCCTCTCAACAGAAAGAACTTGAAGATATATTTTTGTAAGTTGTATCTTTAAAAATTCTATCCAATATAAGAGAAACATTTTCTACTATTACTATTCTATTATTTAATAATATTCTATTATTAAATAATACATTTCCTACTATTATTATTCTTTTATTATTCTATTCTATTATTTTACAGCACAGTTAAGAGAAACATCCACACAAAAACTGTAGTGAAATGTTCTCAACTATTGCATAATTTTTCCTTCTAGGTTTTGTATGAAATTTCCTTCCACATAGTAAACTAGTCATCTTAATCTTTCAATTTTATTAAGACAAAACACATAGAAAACTGTAATTTTTTCATTTCATGTTTACAAGTCAAAGAAACTTCTCCAGTAACAAGAGTATAGGATTTAACAAAGCCCCAGGATAATTAACATTTGAAACAAGACAATATAGACAGCCATTTTTTCTTCTAAGATTATTTTTAAAATGCTGAAATTAAATTAACAAGTTAACCAGAGGAGAGAAATCCATGAAAGGGGAACTAAAATGGATTACTTTAAAAATACTAATTCCTCTGCCGCCTTCATACCTATGAATAATTCCCGGAGGGTATGACAGTCCTTAAAAAACCTTTCATGCTGGATGTGGTGGTGCACACCTGTAATCCCAGTACTCCGGAGGCTAAAGCAGGAGGATCATTGTGAGTTCAAGACCAGCCTGGGCTCCAAAGTGAGTTCAAGATCAGCCTGAAATGCATAGTGAGACCCTGTCTCAAAAAGACAAAAAAAAAAAAACTTTTCTACCACTTCCACCCAGCAAATAGAGGTACTTAGATTAATAATTGCTCATGAGAAAAAAGAAGTGGGATATTCATCAAGACCTACACAAATGCCTGGGATAAGTACACATCGTGGCCCATCTGGTCCAGACAGGCTGAATGTAAATCAAGTAGGATGGTACACTCCAAAGTCTGTGTGTCTTCCTAAGTCTGTTCCTCAGGTTATACACTTATATCACAGACTTTCTTCAGTAATCCTTTAACCCTAACCTGTATTTATCAAGTATCCGTTTATTCCCTCCAAATATACCTCCTCCCTGACTTTCCCACCAAGTCCCGCAATCCCTCTTTTACTTACTCTGGTTCCTCTTCTGCAATCCACCTTGTCCTCTACCCCATGAAGACCTCACTGTATAGGGCACTTTTAGAGCTTTCAATGATAATAAACAGCCCATTGCACCACAGGTGCCATAGGTTTGCCACCAGTGGTGTGTCACTTCAGCCACCACCTTGGTGACAGCCAGTGTTCCACTTCTCTAGTAAACACCTGCCCTTCAGGTGTGCTCCTTTGTAAGCTGGCTAAGAATTTTCTACCATCAGATGCTTTCACACCACTAAGTATGCCCTTCTGCACCTTTAATCTCTCTTTCCTTCAGTCTATAAAGCTGCTCAAGCATCTTGCTTGTAAAAAGCAACTTCATCTTTTAAAAATTCAAGTTTCTCAAGGAAAAGCTTTTTTACTTGTTGTAGTCAGGGGTTGCAACACCATAGATTTAAGATAGGAAACATAATTTTTAAGATTATTTTATAATATTTATCCAAAAAGTCAAACGCAGAAGAGGAGGTGATCTGTCCACAGAGTACAGACCCAAAGAATCCAACTGAGGGCCTGGATCCCATGGCAATGTCCTACATAAGTCCAGCTGAAGATCTACAACCCATGGAAATGTCCTCCAAACTCCAAATGGAGGACATGAGCCAACAACAATGTCTCATGCAAATCTGTATCAAGGATCTGCACTGGGAAGGCCCAAAGGTCAGTGATGGAAGCTGGAAAGTCTGCACCAGCAGGATAAAGGATCTGTGCCAGCCTGAGGGATCTGTACTGGAGCCAGGAAGAGATGCTCAAGGTAAGGACCAGCACTCCCCTGAAAAGAATCGCAGCCATCCTCAGTGACAGTGAGGACCTGAGCTCCTCCCAACAGTGAGAACAGCTGAATTCATATCAGGAAAACCAGCATGACAAGCTTCTCCAGGGGAATCAACAGCACAACCTCTTCCCCTCCAGTTCTTTTCATGCTGCTGACAACAATCCACAGGTAGGCCTTTCACACCCAGCACCATGCTGACTCAGTTTATTTTTTTATTTTTTTATTTTTTTGTTTTTTTTGGGTTTTTTTCTGGTACTGGGAATCAAACTCACAACCTCGTGCTTGCCAGGCAGGCACTGTGCCGCTGAATTAAATCCCCAACCCCCTCATTCAGTTTAGCTGGGTGTTACAAGTTGACCATTAGTTAATCCACCACACTTCCCATTTATTAAACTCACTGCAGTCCAGCTGTTTCCCTCCTTCCTCTCCCAAAATGGTTAGTCTCTCCTGCACTCCCCTACTCTTCCTCATGACAAAAGTCTGAGTTCTGCTCTTTACCTCTCCTCATATGGACTACTACAGTAATGTCCTCACTCATTTTATCTCTAATCTCTTCACTGATGCCCCTTTTCTCATCTACCCATCTGCACACACAACCAGAATACTTTGTAAAAGCCAAAACAAATCACATTTCACCATGCTTAAAGCAAAACTATGGCTTCACAGTGCCTTCACCCTAGAATACTAAGTCATCTATGATCTGGCCCTGTCCTGCCTGCTATACAGGTCCTTCTCATGAGCCAGCCTTCCTTTCTTGTACCATGAGCTCCAGTCTCTATGAATGACACATAAACCCTACAACCAAGCTGTTGACCACAAATGTCCTGGCCATACTATTCCATCTTCTGGAACTGCATGTTCCCTCCTGACTCAGTTTACTCTTTACTTACCTATTAAGATCTAGCTCAAATATTTCCTCCTTCATTCAGCCTTCCAACTCACACAAGTAGTTTCTCAGTCCTTTTCATCTACACATTAATCTCAACTACAAAGCATTACACTTTAATGTAGTTTATTGCTAACGTGCGTGGCCCCCGTCAAATTGTGAGCTCAGTGGCTACTTTTTACCCATCACTCTGTGCTTGTAACACCAATAGATGCCCAATAAATACTGTTGAATAAGTGAAATTAGAAAGGAGAACACAGAATGAGATTATAGTTTCATACAAGTAACATACGCCTGAATGTTACAAGTCCCTACCTGATAAGTAACTGTCTTCTTTCCATCATTTTTAGTCTGAGGTAAGGTCAAAGGTCCAGATACTATCCAAACATCTTCAAACCTCTCTGTCAGTTCACGACAGTACATTTCTATTCTGCAAAAAAAAAATCCAAAAGTGTGTAATATTGTCACAGGCAGGCATGAAAAAAAAAGCAGCAAGCCGTCGCAGTCCCTAGGAAAGATATCAAGAATACTGCATTTGTGAAATTAACTTAAATAAATAAGAACACACAAAACATAAACGGAGATACAATAATTTCCCCCAAGTTTTACTAAAAAATAATTAAAACTCACACAACATAGCTATCTACATTTTTCTCTGTGTACACTTGATATGCATTTTAGAAGTAAAATTCTGTGAAAGCATTTTTCAGGGCTGCAGGTATGGCTCTCTGAAGCAGCACAGAGCCTGCATGCCCAAGGCCCAGGGTATGATCTCAGAGCCCCCTATCCCCACCACACAGCCTATGCCATAGTTTGTGAATAAATATTTTTCAAGAATTATGTCATTCCATCAACCTAATAAAATCATCCCCACTACAGGACAACAGAGTTTATTTTAACATTTCCTATACAATGCAGCATTATGTTAATTCTAAGAATGAATTTAAAGGAATAAATTACTGAATAAATACTTTAATGACTTGATTATATATAAAACTTATACTAAATATTTTTAATAGGATTATATAAATTCTCTCTAGGTTCTAAAACGTGACATAATAGTTTTACAACAATCTTTACAACACTGGAATTTATCATTTTAAAACTTTTTTTATCAAATTTACCAGATTAAAATGGCAAGTCATTTTATGTGCATTTTTTTCCACTTGACCTTAGCCAAAAGGCCAAGAAGCAATATACGCATTTTCTTACAGTGTAGCTGGAAGAGCTCTCCCAATGAGATAATACTTACCACTCCTCAGTTTTTTATCTAAAATGTAGTATCAAATTATCTTACAATATATATGCCCAATACATACTATTTTACAAGGTAAAATTTTCCTTCCATAAATTCGTCTCTTAAGAAAAAAAAGTTAAATGTTCCTACAGGTATGCAATCCCCAAATCCAGAATACGGAAAGGAAACTCTAAAGGGAAAATATCCCAAATCTTCAAAAAATAATTTGCAATAAAAGAAAGAATAAAAAACCTACAAATTAATTAAAATGAACTAAAGAAATGTATCAACCAATCTAGGTATACATAGACCACATGTGAATCCTAATTTAAACCAACCAACCAAAAAATATCCAAGAGTAATCAGAGGAGCATGAGTACTGAAAACCAGTAAGAAGGAATTACTACCCTTCAGTTTAGGGGCAAGAGTAGTTCAGCAGACCACATTTTATAAAATCCTTGTGAACAGGAAGGGGACTGAAAGATGGAAAGGGGCAGGGGATGAAAAGAACTGAGCTGTGTTATGCACACGCACCAACTCCCCACAAGGACCGTGACCACTCTGTGCTACAAACATGGACTAGTAAAAAATAAAACTTGAAAAAATCCTTTGTTTTCTAGAACTATATGGAAATATTTATTAATAAAACAATGTAGGAGCAACCTGAGTGGAGAAAATGAGGGCATGTAGATGGAACAACTGTGGCCATGACTGACAACCACTGTTAGTGCAGGATGATGCTCTCTTAATCATTTTAAACCATAAAGTACTCTATGAGGAAAACACAATAACCTAAAAAACCTCCATCAGTGCTAGTTTTAGATGCTTAAGAGACCACCTGACAGGCTTATTAACAGTTTAAGGAAAATACAGGTCCGGATGACTTCTGTTTTTCCTTTTGAAACAGGGTCTCACTGTGCAGTTCAACCTGGCCTGAACTGTGTAGCCCAGGCTAGCCTAGAACTTTCCAGAGATCCTCCTGGTTCAGCCTCCTAGTGTAGGATTATAGGCATAAACCACCATACCCAACTCAGATGATTTTATAGTTAGGTTTTATTAAAAACTATCTAAAGGAGCTGGGCATGGCACCACATGTCCTTAATCCCATCACTCTGGGAGACTTAAACAGGAGGATTGCAAGTTTGTGCCCAGAATGGACAACTTAACAACTTAGTGAGACCCTTTCTCAAAAAATGATTTTTTATAAAGGACTAGGGATGTAACTTAGTGCAAAGGTTCAATCCCCAGGACCACTTTAAAAAAAACAAAAACAAAAAAAAAACCCTAGTTAATGGTTACACTGAACTGTACCAGCACTTTTTCTTAACAGCTCAGGAACACCAGAATATAACAAAACTGCCAGGTGTGGTGGCACGTGCCTGTAATCCCAGCACTCCGGAGGCTGAGGAAAGGGGATCATTGAGAATTTGAGACCAGTCTGGGCTACAAAGTGAATTCAAGGCCAGCCTGTACTTCATAGTGAGACCCTGTCTCCTAAAAAGACAAAAAAAAAAAAAAAAAAAGATATTACTGCCTCAGTTATTAACAGAATTATTAACTTGAGTAGTTTCTTTCAAAACTTCACTTTTGAACAGTAGCAAACACATTAAAAAAACAAAACAAAACAAAACAAACACCAGGCTATATTTTGAAGTCTGCTCTCCCACAGATTATACTCCCAAAATACAGCAAAGAAAATAACCCAAAGTACTGGCTTAGCATCAGTAAGGTTAGCATCTCAAGAGCAAAGACACAGCCAGCTGATAAACACTAATACATTCTCCTGTCACACAATCATCTTCCACAGAATGTATTTTTAAAACTCTCACAGCTTACCTGTTCCAATATCCAGAATTATTATCAAAATTCTGAGGCACAATATTAGAAAGGTAAAAAGTTTCAGCCATGGCTTTCTGTGAAAATCAATAAATAAAAACAGTGACTTACACTGAAATGTTCTCCCTTTAAGATATTTTACAAAATGAACAGAAAGAAAACCAGTTTCTTATTCACACATTATTTCTAGGCAATTAGTGACTACAGTGCTTATTTGGATAAATGAAAGCTACAGGTACTCTGGGAGAGAAAGACTTATTATCCAAGTAAGGACTTCAGTGTGCTAATTTGGCTTATCATTTATAAAATCCAAATCTATAATGTAAACTCTAAGAACTAAAAGCTTCCAATGTAAAGCTTAGTAGCAAATTCTGGTTTTAAGCCTCGGGCAGAGAATTTCTTAATATAGTTAACCTTCAGGAATGTTAGGAGGTACAGTACAAGCTCACTAGTTCAAAAGTAGAAGAGAAAAAGTATTCTATACAATCTAGGAAGCTTAACTGATGCCTGGGTCCATCTCCAAGAGTTTCTGCATGGGGATTTTTGCACAATTCCCCAGGTGATCAGAATGAGTACCCACAGATGAGAACCACTATCTTGATGATGACAAGCATCAAGCAGAGTTCACATAGTAAGCAGGTGTGGTGGCACATGCCTATAATCCCAGCACTAAGGATCCCTGGGAGCTCAAGGCCAGCCTGGGCTACATAGTGAGTATGCATACATATGTAAAGTAAATGTACCATACATGACTGCCATATTATCTTTCCAACTTTTCTACAGGTCCAAAACTTTTCAACATAAAAATAAATGAGTTGGGGCTTAGGGCACAGCTCACTGGTAGAGAATCTGTCTAGCGGTGTATGAGGCACTGGGTTCAACCTCCAGACAACAGGAAAATAAATAGTAAAAATAATGATAATTTAAAAGATGAATAGCTTCACTCCCTGTGGCTTTCTGTTGCTGTTATTGCTGTTTCTGACTGTTTTCTGAGATAGGGTTTGGCTATGTAGCCCAGATGACCCTTGAACTTTCAATGATCCTCCTGCCTCAGTCTCCCAAGTGCTGAGATTACAGGCATGAGCCACCAGGCTCAGCTTCCCAGTAGCTTTTTATTTCCTTTATGTAACATTTGGTTTTCCTCATTCAACCTGTTTAAAAATGATTCAGGTCAAGTGTGGTACATGCCTATAATCCCAACACTCAGTAGGCTGAGGCAGGAGGATCACTGCAAGTTTGACGCCTGCCTACATACACAGTGAGCTCAAGGCCAGCCTGAACTACATAGCAACATCCTATTTGAAAAAACAACAAAAAAGTAAAAATTAAAAATAAAAATGACTCAGCATCTGACAAGAAAAGGACAGTGAAAGAGAAGTCAGAAGTAAAAAGGAAACAAAGAATGGAAATTCTTAAACCTTTAAGATTTGGCTCCTAGATTTGTAATCTCCAGGCCCCTCAGATATATGGATGATATAACAACCTCCAAATGATACTGGGGAAATATTATAATTCCTAACCTGCTAGATGTCCAATATGCCCTTAGCACACAAACATCAGCCCCCTCCTCCTACCCCTCCCCAAATATGCCTACACTTGAAAATTTATTGTTTCCTGCTGGAGCCATGTGTCCTCGTGACCAGCCGCTTCCAATATAGTCCTCATTGAAGGCACTGAATGTTGGAGAGATACTGGGATCAGGCTTGAACTTACAGTGTTTTCTGTCTGCATCACCTGAAGAAAACACACAAAATGAGAAAGTTATCAGTGGACAGATAACCCTCCAAGTTCTCTAGGCAAGGCAAGCTGGCTGCTACTGACTGGTATCTCTTCAAGCAGCTTGAATTCGGGATTCTATGGCTCAAGTTTCTGGCATAGTTCAGATACTTCGTCTGAATTTAGAAAGCACTGGTCTAGGAAAGAATGCTTTTCATACTGTGAAGCAGTCTCATATAATTTTCATTCTGGCCTTTCCAATTAAAGACACACTACTCTGGATATATTTATGTAAAACAATGATCAAATGGCTATGCTATTTTAAACCTTAGTTACTAAATAATTTTTCAAAAGGACACCCATGTATTGTGTTCTTTACAATTATATTCTGACAAATTTTATGTACTGAAATAATGGATAAATATAGACTCACAACAATTTGTTCTGGGTAGGCACAGCCTAGGGGACAGATGTCTCTGACATCCTGCTTAATGCCTCTTAAACCGTAACAAAACAAACATTTAAGCTATGAGCTCCAGCCAGCATCACATGGGAAAAAAGAAATTTCAATTTTTACTCTTTTTGCTACCTCCAGAATGATTGGTTTGCCTTAAAGGACATCAGCAAATCCCAACCCTCTATTTCCACTGTCATAAAGTCCGAACTTGCTAAACTACAGAAACTATGAGGACAAACAGAATATGCTTAGACTACTACTCCTGTATTGGCCAGGAACAGTAGTATATGTCTGTAATCTCAGCACTCTGAGAGGCTGAGGCAGGAGGAAAATGATTTCTAGCCCAGCCTGGGCAATTTAGGGACTCAGCAGGACCCTTGTCTCTAAAAAAGGAAAAAGCTAAAAGAATGAGCTAGCGGGGGCTGGGGATTTAGCTCAGCGGCAAAGCGCCTGCCTGGCAAGCGCAAGGTTGTGAGTTCGGTTCCCGGTACCGGAGAAAAACCAAAAAAAAAAAGAATGGGCTAGGGGTGTAGCTCAGCGCAAATGTACTGGGTTCAACCACCAGGAATTGGGGGTGGGGGGTAACTGACTCCCAGTACTGAAAAAAAAAATGTAAAATGTAAACCTATGAAGTTCTGCTTCCAATGTAATTTCACTGAGCCAAGAGAATTTAGTTATCAGAGCCAAAGTCCACAGCAAAGTATCTAATACCTACTATTTTAGAAACACTTTATAAAGAAAAAAATAACTGGTACCACTGAAGGATTATTGAAAGAAACTGCTTAGTGTCATTAACTTTGTAATCGCGTCCTGTATACCGAGTTATCTGTGCCTGGTGCTCACTGCCCTTGAAACTCACTTGTGAGGATTTTCAAAAGCCTAAGGTGCCATTCTTGGGAAAAGAAGTAAATCTGCTTTCATCAGGTGTTGAGCAGCATCATCGCCAGAGGACTACATTCACCCACAACGGAGTATGGCTCTCAGACCCACAGCACTGCATGGATCTGGGATAGAGTCCGCATGCTAGCCACTCTGGGCCTCGGTGTCTCCGGAACATGCTTTTGATTTTCATTTTGAGGCCTCGCTGCTTGTACCAAGATGACTTTCCCTGCACATCTTCAGTGTGCAAGTAATAAGTTCCAATTCACTCTGCCCCTGGAGACACTCTTCTTGGGTTCCAGGTTAGTGTGGAGAGGGTCCACTACAGGACAACCTACTTGGGGTCCTTTCTCCCCCTATCAGGCTGCAGAATCAGACAAACTGCCAGAAGTGGCTTTACCACTCTGGCTTTACCCCAAATATGGCCTTGACAATTGTTCCCTATACTGTTGGCTCTTTGCCAAGTGGTTTTTTAAAAATAATTTTTATAAACTGCTCATAACATTTATTACTTTCAGTAGCAGTTAGTCTGAATAACTTCACCTGTCATTACTGAGTAAGGAAAATCTTCATATCAAAGTAAAGTAACACCCAGTATATTGCTTTGTATTTCCTATAAAACTGATTTGCTCTATTTTACCACCTCAAAAGTATACAACTCATGGCATTTACAACATATAACACCACTTTTCTTACATGCTTCTCAAACTGTTCATTTAATAGCAACATAAAATTACTAAAGTTGAAATTCCTTTTACCTTGGGAAAATTTCTCTTTTTTAAGAAAGTTCTCAAATTTGAGAAATCAATGAGTTTCTCTTGATGTAAATTTATAATCAACTTTCATTTCCACGATAAAGTCTTCAGTTACATCAGAGTGCCTCTACCGACAAGTACACTCCCAGCTTCCTGCTACACTGTTGTGTGCCATACACCAGTACACACCCATTTTAGTATTCATAGACTTAGCACACATTTTAAAGCAAAGCAGAAGTACATGGACCACAAAGCAAATTCAAAGGCAAATAACAAAATGGCAATAAAACAACTATGATAAAAGGTAAAATCCTTAATAATAACAGAGGTCATACAAATCAACTCAAAAAAAGATTATCCTAACTGAAAATGGATAAAGAATAATTTACAAAGAAAAAATAATCCACAAAATGTTACCACTCATTAATAATCAATAAGTACTAGTAAAATCAAAAATTTGGCAAAGCTTAATACTACTCAGCACAGACATGGGTGAAAAGTAGGACAAACAGTGATGGTGGAATGTAAACTGGAAAAATTTACCTAGAAACCAATCTGAACCTAATTACCAAAATGTGGTCATCTTAATTAAAGGGATATTCTGATGCAAGTATACATGAACAGATTTATGTACCTGCCTAACCTTCCAGCATCATTTCATCACATTTGCCCTGCTCCAGTTAGTTTACAGCCTTCTTTTAGTTTCCCAAAGGCACAAACTCTTTCCCACTTTGGGGTCTTCAAAGATACAACTTCTTTCTGCCAAGAATGCTCCTTACCATATACCACAGCCCATCCAATGCATATCAAGGTAACCACCATCCACCCCTTAATCTATTTTCTCGGAGAAGCCGCACTAATCAAAGTCATGTTCTCCTATTGTAATTTCACTGGTTCTTTACAGTTGCTTAATTATATCAACTTGTACCTGTTTCCTTTAGAAGAGCTGCAATCAATTATATGTTCATGATTATTTTTTGCTGTCAACCTACTACACCGGCTCAAAGTGTCATGGGGTAAGAGACCATTTACTCTGGTCACAGCGATATTCCCAAGGTTTAGCATGGTGCCAGACTCATAACAGGCATTAAAAACATTTGTTGACATAAAAACTGAACGATGTTCATTGTAGTACTATTGACGACAGAGCCTCCCAACTCATGTCAAGATGAAGATCCTCTCAGGCCTGCGACAGCTAGGAAGGGCCAAGCAGGGTCCATTTAATCAATGAGCCATACCAATATCCTTTCCTACATACAGTGTGAGAAAGGTAGAAAATGTTATCGATAATCCTCTTGAAGCATCTTTCAAGAATACCATTACTTTAATCTTCTTTTAACCACCTACCCACGATCTTGCTTTTGGATATATGCTCAAGAACCCATCTAGGCAGCCGCTTTGCCTGATCATAAGACAAGGCATGATTAGTGTAACACCTAGTCTCTGTGCCAGTTAAAGGAAATCCAAATTGTTCCAAGATAGCCTTTTCTTCAGATCCTAAAATGAAAAAAGAAAGGAAAAAGACAAAAACAAGATACAATTAGTGACTCATTAAAAGTAAATGATTATAAGCAAAGGGTGAGACTTATAAAGAGCCAGCTCAAAAGTCTAATCAAACAAAAGATTTCTTTTGCAATTATTAATTTTTTATTATTTAATGTATTCATTTATTATTAAGTAAAAAAAAAAAAGTCTGGAAAAGTACTGGTTTTGCCTGTAGTTGGCAGTATAGTTACATCATGAAAAAGTGCAGCCATCGAATTTTTTAAAAAAGAACTGGCTGAGGGTGTAACTCAGTAAGTGCAAGTGCATGAGACCCTAGGTTCAATCCCCAGCCCCAAAAATAAATAAGGATCTGATCTTGCCAGGTGTGGTGGCCCAATTGTAATCCCAGCACTCTTGGGAGGCTGAGGCAGGATAATTTCAAATTCAAGCCCAGCCTGGGCAATTTAGTAAGGTCCTGTCTCAAAATCTTAAAAGTGAAATTAAAAGGACCGGGGATTTGTTTGATATGTCAACCTACTACACCAGCTCAAAGTGTCATGGGGTACAAACACCCTGGACTCAAAACCCAGTACGGAAAAAAAAATAATAATAAATGATACATAAACAAGGATTTAATCTTAATCTCTCCGCTCCCTCCCCCAAACCTATACAAAACCAGCACTCACAGTAAAAACATCATTAGTGAACGTTAGGCACTGATATGACTGACCGGATGAAAAAGAACCTACATACTTATGGTTTAAGACTGACTGCAGGGACAAACGCGGTCTTGCTTTAAGTTTTTCAAAAGATCATCATTCGCGGACCTCCTCAAAGCTCTGGCATTGAAGCACTGAGATGTGCGCTGCAGCAAAACAGTAAAAGCGACACTGTTGGCTGGGCCTGGCGGCGCTCGCCGGTAATCCTCTGCAGACTGAGGCAGGAGGATCACTACAAGTTCAAAACCAGCCTGGGTTACATACAGTTCAAGGCCATTCTGAACTATGTAGCAAAACTCTGTCTCAAAAAATAAAAACAAAAACAAAGCGGTGCCGTTTTTCCCGGCAGGAGAAACCAGGCGCACACGTAAGAGCAGGGCAGCTCCCGGGTAATCCTCTCGGGATGCCTCTTCCAGTTCGCAACCCCTACAGCAGCGCTCCGGTTAGAGCAGGTAAATTAGCTCATCCAGGAAACGTGCGTGTGCTCACTTCGGCGGTCAAAGACAAGCGCTCCCGGGCTGGGCATTTAGCTCAGCGGCAAAAGCGCCTGCCTGGCAAGCGCAAGGTCGTGAGTTCGGTTCCCGGTACCGGAGAAAAAAAAAAAAAAAGACAAGCGCTCCCGCCCCGTCACCCGCGGCTTCACACACTCCGAGGAGGGGCTGGCAGGATTCCTCCTTGGAACGAGGACGCTCCTCTGCCAACACTGCGCGCTTGCCGCTCCTTCGTGCACGCTCACCGAACGCCCGTCCGCACCAGCGCTGGCTGGCTCCGGGCGGCTCCGGCACCGTCTGGGAGGGACGGGGCGAACCGCATCGCGGAGGACGCTGGCAGCAGCAGCACTCCGGGGGCGGGCTGCGCGGTGCAGGGCCCCAGCGGCCCAAACACTTACCGTCCAGCCCCCTGGCTGTCCACGTTGCCTCCGCGTCCCGTCTCCGGAAGAACTGCAGGGCCATCAGCCCCGTTCCCGCTGCGCCCACTGCAGCTCCGGCCACAAAGCCATTCAGAAATCGCCGGGAGCCTCTGAGGCGGGAAGCAAAACTCTTGGCAGCCATCGCTCTCGAAGAACCGCACTTCTACCACTGCGCATGCGCGCTCCGAGTTTGACGCTTCAAAGCCAATCTCCACCTTGGGTCCCTGACACGCATGCGCAACCTGAAGCGTAGCCGGTGGCACCTAGTCCCTCCCGCGCCTTACAGGCCTAACGCGGCACCCTAGCGACAAACCTGTAGGAGCAGGCGCCCCCGCATCCACAGCCGGTCCACTAGGCCAGGAGATGGTGGGAGTATGACTTCTTGAGGGGCAGTGGTGTGCACATACTGTCCTGAGATCATTTAGTAGGTGAGTAAACATTGCTGTGTGGTCCACCAAGGCCCCCTGAGCATATTCCAAGTCAGATCCGACTTCAAAATATGTGCGGTACTGGGATTCAACCCGCTCACGCTGTTATATACGAATATGCCTACCCATTTTAAAAATATTTTTGTACGTTTATCTTTTCTTTCAGCCACTTACTAATCTTTTCTTTCAGCCACTTACTAAATGTCCTTATTAAGGCTAATAGGTTTTTTACCATTATATCAGCAAAAACGGTAATTTATTTTCCAGTATCCATACTGATTTAGTATTACCTTCACCTAATCTTCAAAGCAGTTGTTTCCTGTTTCAAACTTTAGAATAGCTTTAATACTTATGATAAAATGTTTATTTCATGGTCTACCATACTGAAATCATTTTTCTTTAAACTGTTATCTCAGTATACTGATATATTTTTAAAATCTTTACTTTGAAATTTTATTTTTTATTCACGTATTGTTGCTACCAGGGATTGAACTCAGGACTTTGTGCTTGCCGAGCAAGCCGCTGTGCCGCTGAGCTATATCCCTGGTCTACTTTGAAAATTTTAGACTTTCAGAGAGTTGCAAATTCCTCAGATTTTCCAAATGTCTACTTTTATCATTCTGTGTATATATGTATATGTATGTTTCCTAAAATATCTGTAAATTCTTTGCCTTTAACCTCTTAGTATTTATATTTACTAGAAATAAGGGTATTCTCCTCATTAATCATAGTGTGACCTCACCAACTTTATTTACTGTGGCACCAGATCTGGCACCATGCAACTTCTGCAGCTGATCATGCAAGCAAACATTTTGAATTAAGGAAGCCACAAGAGCATAACTAAAGACACTCACGAAAGAAGACTCTCAGAACTGCTTCAGAGAGTGGCAAGAACAATGGGTTTGTGTTTGAAGTAGGGGGATGTTGTGGTTTGTGTCTGATGTCCCCCTAAAGCCTCATGCAGTCATAGGGGAAGGGCTTTTCGAAGGCAGCTAAATCTGGAGTTTGTGATTGGTTCATTGTCTGGTGCTGGGATTGTGGGTGTGAGTGCTACCCCGACCCTAGGGCAGGTAGTCTGCACACAATATATAAGGGAAGAAAAAAAGTCTTCCTCGCTCTTTTGCTCTTGTTGCCTTTGCTGCGTTCCACCTCCATTAACTGTCACCCCTGTGCTATGTGCCACACTGCCTTGGAACCAGCTGATGGACTGAAACCTCTACAAACTGTGAGCTAAATAAACCTTTCCTTCCTTAATTTTGGGCACTGAGTGTTTTGTCTCAGCAACGAGAGAAAAGTAAGATAAGGGTATTTTTTAAGTGGGATTGATGGTCATGTGTTTTACTGTAATAGCATTCCTTAAATTAAAAATTCACTTTATCACACATATATTCCATAAACTCTCACACATAAATGTCTGTCATTTTGCAGCACAATCCCCAGCTTTCCATGTGCATTTAGTTCTATTTCTTGGCAGTTAGAAAAACTTATCAAGTTGCTATTTCTTAGCAATACTTTTTACCTAGATGATGGTCAATCAGTAGGAGGCCATTTCTAACCAACTGAAGAAGTACACAGTTCTGACAGCCTCAAACAGGAGGCTGTGCCCCTCCAGCCCACCGGTCAAGGTAGAGCTGCTCTCTGCCATCAACAGCAGCTTGCATGCCAAGCAGAAACTGACAGGCTGACTCCAGCCAGACCTACAAGCAGGGAAATTGTGTGTTTCTCAAATCCCAATGAAATAAAACTTCAATCCACTACCATGTGATTAAGAGAAACAACAAAGGTGTTTTATTATGATTATTTTATTTTCATATACAAAAAGATAAAACTTGAAATAGTTCTATATTTTTCCTCCTATCTGTTGGGGTGTGGCTGCTTCTTCACACAGGGGGGAAAAACTACATTCACATCGGTTTGAGGACCCAGTGCAGAGTTTAAGCAGCAAAACCCCAACTTAGCAGATCTAATTTCAAACTTGACACTCATTTCTAAAATTACCACAGTAGAAAGGAACAAAGATCCACTGCAAATGAATGAACTATGATACAATAGTCTTTCCAAAATGTTTTCATTTTGCAACTGTAATTACATAGACGTCTGCTTCAGGCCATTTTAGGTGTGTGTGTGTATATGTGTGTGTGTGTAATACATATATAAATCAGCACACTTTTCAAATCCAGACAGGGTAACAGCACAAGCTTAACTCTGTATATATATATGTATATATTTTAAAACAGGATACTTTAGTATAATTTTTGTTAATTCAGTAGTACAAGCTATTTCTGTCCTACAAAATTTTTATTTTATAGCTACAAGGGTGAAAAGTGACCTACTACATTTACATCTCACATATCCTGGTATACAAACAGTACTTATTGGTTTTGAGCCAAAAACTAGAAGTCTTTAGTTTTATCACTTGCAAGAGCTTCCTCACTTCCATAGCCTTAAATCATACACTAGTCACAATTCCAGAGTTTGTAGTTACTCCTCATTTTAAACTGTGAGAAACAGGTGAATCCAAACTTTTAATTACAATTTGTATGTACAAGTTAGGTAACACAACTCAGGAAGACTTAGCTACCCATCCTAAGCCCAACACACACATTCTTCACTAAGTTAAACAAGTCTTAGGGTTTTCCTTCTTTCCCTTACAAATAATGTACAAATTTAGAAGTAGCTGGTAAAACTTACATAAGATGTTAAATAAAAGGTGACTTTTCTGTTGATTCAAAACTGTTCCTGCGAATTTTATACTCTGCCGTGTTCTGTAATTTAATGTCTACTACATGCAGAAAGCTCTTTTCACAAGAATTGACATCAAACACGATGTAGGTTAAATTTACAGTACTGTATAGTTATTCAGATTCAAGGACAAATGTGGAAAATATTAACAGGTGAAAACTTTGGCCTTTGCCATTACCATTAAGATCATGTCAAATTCATAAGCAGATTCTTTTGTACAGTTGAAAAATGGCAGCATGTGAGTCTGTGGTATGGAACTGAAATCTAGAAACATGTTTCTCATCTGCGGTAACCCTCTCCTTCAATTCTCAAGTACTGCTCAATTTTCATTGCATTTTTACAGAATTCTAGAAAAAAATGAGGGGGAAAAAAGTCGCTGTCATTTTAACAACTAATCCCCCCAATGGTAGTCTTAGCATTTCAAATGGGGTCTCCTGAAGAATCTCCAACAATCACTTTTCCCAGACGGCCTCTTGATAATGACTTTGACACTTTTCAAATTAAAACTCAGATGTTACCTAATCTTTCCTATTCTCATGTCTGTCATTGTTGGTAAAATTTGGATGATTGCATTTTCCCTTATGGAGAAATTATTTGGCTATACATAAACTTAACTTGTGGCAGTGCTCTGAGAAAACCCCACTTGGGCTAAAGCACTTCAGGGACTGACAGTCCACTGAACAGGACAGAGCCCAAACACTCAGAAGGCTGAGCCAGGGCCCACTGGGAACACACTGTCCTCGGTGTCCACAGTCAGCAGGACAGCAGGACAGCCCAGGCAGGCGGCTCACATGGCTGAGTTACTACTTTTAATCTTGGTCTGCCATTTATGCCCCAGAGACAAAAATTCAGATGACTGCTGGTTAATTAAGCTTTTTGAACTGGTAGAAAAGGCTCTTTAAAAATATATATATATATATATTTATTTAAAATACATCATAATGACAAACAGCCATATCCCACAAAGCCTAATTTCACAGCAACATATGCTACAGATATCTTCCCAAAATGCACTGTGGTGGATGGTGGGTTTTTATCCTGCCATTTAAAGGAATGTTCTACATTTGAGCTTTAGCAACTAGAAATGTGTTATAAAGAGCTCATCTTTGGAACTAATTTGCATGTAAGACCAGCCAGTCGAGTTGTTTTGCCTCTTCAGACAAGCGTGAGAATACTGAAAACAGCAGAACTCGGAGAAGCACAGGAAGCACCACTCAGACGACATTCCGTGGTGACAATGCACAGCACTAGGATAAGCTCACCAGAAGCTCCCGTGTCAGTCCTTGGAAAGAGTTCTGCTTTGAAACAAGTGCCTACACAAGGTAGGGCTCCTGCATGTATATGTTAAGTCTGCAGTATCAAGAGGACCCAGATGGTGACACTGTTCAACATAAGGTCTGAGGTAAGTGGTTCTTAAAATACCTGGATCACAGAAGTGTATCCAGAAATTAGAGCTAGGAAAAAGGAAGGTAAAGGGCCTGGGGCTAGAAAAGACACGTAGGAAAAAAGCTTACAGCAGTTGCTTTTGGGGGAAGTGGGTGACAAAAACAAAGGCACAACAGAGTTACATTCCAAGACAGGTGGCTGGAGAGCAAGAAATGTTGTTCTATGGGGAACAGAAAAAAGAGAGATGAGTTGATTCCTGGAGTGCTAGATGTAAAACTAAGTTGATTCCCGGAGTGCTAGATCCAGAATTAAGTTTATTCCCAGTATAAAAGGGCTGAAGTGTAAAACTATACTCTAAAGCAGAACAAACAGAAAGCACAGATGTTTTAAAATGACATGAAAGAATCTCTTAACAAAACTATATCCGGTGTCCCTCTGGAAGCCACAGCCTGAAGACATCAGGCAGGATGTGGGGGGACAGGCCTTCACCTTAGCCTCAGATAGCACAACGGTTTAGCTTAATTATTCACTTCCCCTTTCCTCTTCAGAAGCTTCCCCCAAATATCCATCTACCATCTACCTGAAAATAAAAAGGCTAAAGTGAAGACCGCCTCCCACACAATGGCAGTGACGCTGACCTTTGCAGGAACCTCTGAGGACACGTG